CTGACAATTCTTTACTGTGGCAAAGATTGAGTAATAGTAGCACCTCTCCTTTAGAGTAATGGATCTTTTTTATTCTGCATCCCACCTATCAGTTAATGAAAGAGTTTGGATCTCACTAGAAACCCAAAAACATGAAAAGAAAGAAATGACTAAAGGTTCACATGCACATAATAGGCAGCTTCATGATTTGCTTCATTAGTAGCTTGGTCTAAGCAAGGATGATAATAAAATTAATCACCACATTTAATCCACTGGTGCCAATGCAATGAAATCACTCCACTGATATAGTTCTCCATTTGTGCCTGTAACAAGCCCCTGTAGGTGTATCTCAGAAAATGTCATTAAAAAGGATAACATTAAGTTGTACTATGTTATCCAGTCTGACAATTCAGCAGATGGATTCCAAGGATCATGTGTCTGTAGGTATATATTTGAATGTGTGGGATTGCTGCCTACCTGAATTATTTGTTTCAGAGAATCAATAAATACCAATGAATTAGTCTACATGGGGTTCCATCATTTTTAAGTGATGCCAAACACCAAGAACAGCCTTTCCTCAATTTGGTGCTTGCCAAATGATTGAATACATCCTCCGTAATTTCAAGTTAGCAGGTTCTTTGATTTGCTATCATCGACACTTAAAATGTTAGAAAGAAATTATGGGAGTTCTAATCTAGGTTCTGGAGGGCATTGGGTTGAGGAAGAGCATCTCTGTATTAGGGGACAGTTAGCTAGGCAAGGTTAGTGCCACGTCTCTACCAATTGCCCTTAAGTTGGGCAGAATTAGCCTCTCTACACAATGATATTAACTTGCATTTAAAAGAAAATCCGCCTTTCTATGCTTACAGTCTGGCTCTGAAAGGCAGTAAAAGTTAAGCTTCTGTGTCACTTTTGATTAAACTCCTAAGTGATTTAATAGAGAATTTTAAAAACCATATTAAAGTCTTAAAGCTTGCAGGTGTCAGAGATTTAACAATCTTGATCCTCCAAGCTGCCACTAAAGGGAGGCCAAGAGTTATATTTCCAGCACGTGGTATATTCTCCCCTGAATAGCATGAAAGGAAGGCACAGTGGGCATTGTATATAGAAAATCTTGTATGTCCCACATGGGGAGAAGCCTATACTAGCCTGCTAATACTTCGTGCATAATGATCCTTTGCTCTCGGTTGCTCCATTTACCTGTATTATGGCTGAATTCAAAGACTGGCAATGCAGATTCATAATCAAGTAACTGTGCTCTGACTCATGTGGGAGCTAAGGGCCACGAGAAAGGGCTATAGCCTCTTATGTAGGATGGTCAACATAAGTAAACAGCAGCAAAGAGTGGCCCCTTACCAAACAGTAGGAGAATGACATGACTTCTCTAGAAGCTGCAGGACTGCTTGCTTTCCTCACTATTTTTTTCAAGGGCCAGCGAGAGCTCACCGGACACCGCCAGAACCGCGACGCTTTCCAAGGCGCGGGCCCCTCTCTCGGGGCGAACCCATTCCAGGGCGTCACTAATACCACTGGATCTTTGGCCGATACCTGGAATTAGGCAACATCTTTGCTTAATTTTTGTTAATGTCAATAAATAAATGGTAATCTTGTAGGAGAGATTAAAAAGAGGATTGGACCCTGCTTTTGTGGTCATGTCCTTTTCCAACCATGTTGTGCAGAATAAACATTAAGAAATGTAAACAATGCATTGGAAAAATACTGCATATTTTGGGACACATTCAAGGAGCATCCTTTTCTTGGTAAAAAAGATAAAATACGCCTTCATGAGCTCCCAGTTACTATCTAGTCTAGGAAAGCTAAAGAATATTTGTTCCATCCTACCTTCCTACAGCAAAAGAGAAATAATATCTTGGGGGATAACAACAAATTAATTTTCTCAGCAAAAATCCTCAGTTAGGTTAGGGCTGTTCTGGAACTGACCAGAAGGAATAAGTTCTCCACCCACTGATAAGCCAGTGGCATGCAGAGGCAGGACAGCAATCGAACTTTAAGCAGGCAGCAATGGCAAGAGCTTTTGAAAACATGCAGAGTTTAATCCCATAAAATTGCAAATCTGTTGGAAGCGTTTACACCAGGAATAGCCCTTCTGGATTAGCAAGGTCGGAATAAAGTTCTTTCCTTCTATCGCTAGTGCAGATATTTGAAATCATATCTCTTTTTCATACTTATCCATGGCAGATGAGCCTGGGACATCCACAATTTCCCCGAGAGGCTAGAAAGGGTGGGAGGGAGAAATGCATCACTTCAAAGAGGCAGATGCAGATATACCTCCTCCCTATGGATTAATACTGCATACATTAAAAATGCCCCTGCGATTGAAACTGCGTGCAGGAAAAGTTGCAATCGTGGTTGGCTGAATTTGTCATTATTTTTCCCCTTTCCTTTGTAGAATTCATCTGGTTCAGGAACTGTAGTTTATTAGTTCTGCTGTGGTAAGCCAATTACTTCACAATTACCCTACACAAATACACTCATGTGTAATAGCATTGGACAGAAATACAATACAAGCAATGCACAAACCAATAGTGCGCCAAATAGAAATTAGATAGCCTGTAGTGCAAATTATGCATATAGCCAACTCTTCTGTGACTGAGCATGTACAAACTTTCTCGTCTTTCATTTCATGAAAAGAAGCAAAATTCAGAGGGAGTGAGAAGCGAGGGCAAAGTTGCCTGAGATGCAGAGTAACAAAGTGATGGAAACACACATTGCGACAGCCCATCAGATTCAGTTCTCTAACTCGCAGGAGAAGCATTTTCAATACGGTACTCAAGAACATGGCTGTGTCCCTTTTAATCAGCATGGCGATTCCACTTTGAAACAGTCAGACCTCATTATTTGGAAAGTTGCTCAGGTGAATGCCACTCTTTGCTACGTGCAATGAGAAGATTCAGCAAAGGAATGGAACTTTACAAGGAAAAGGAAGACCAGTGCTAACTCTCAAAGAGGATCAAGCAGCTGATCTGGCCAAACTTACAGGCTATCACAAAAGAGATACAACTGATAGTAAAAAAAAAACCAATAGGTGGCTTTGGTGCAGGACAACTAACCTCACTCTGGGTTACTGGACAGTTGGGAATTGGACAGTTAATAGGCAAGTTCACTGCTCACTTCATAAGCAAAGTTTATTTTCTAATCAATTTAGCTGCTCATCATAAGAAGTGCCTGTGTCCCATCCAGGGCTGTTTCCACCCAGAACCTTATGACAGCAATCATAGTTCAAAAGGACAATGAAAAATTGGAGAAAATTCAGAGGAGGGCAGTCAGGATGATGAAGCCCTCAGGAGAATGGTTAATGGATTTAAGAATGGTTAACGGATGTTTGGCCTACAGCAAGGATGACTGAAAGGAGATATGACAACAGTCTTCAAATAACTGAAATTTTTTGACATAAAAGAGGGAATGAACTTATTTTCTATTGCCTCAGAAGTCAGAACCAGAATGATGGGTTAAAACTACAAGTGAGCAGGTTTAACCTAGATATCAGAAGGAGGCTCTACATCATTGACAATGATGTAGTGAATTCACTTTTTATTTTATTGTTATTTATTTTTTTAGATTTTTTTTAAAAAATCCTGCCTTTATTATTTTATAAGTAATTCAAAGCAGTGAACGTACTAAATACTTCTTTCTCCCCCTATTATCCCCACAACAATCCTGTGAGGTGAGTTGGGCTGTGAGAGAGTGACTGCTCAAGGTCACCAAGCCAGGTCTCATGCCTAAGGTGGGACCAGAACTCACGTCTCCTGGTTCTAGGCCAGCACTTTAAACACAATACTAAACTGCCTCTCACCTTTGTCAGAGGTCTAATTCTGCACTAAATAGAGGATCTATCCAATCCTGATTCCATGACATGTACTCAAATCAGTGCAGAAATCAATGTATTCTTTGTAACAGCAAAGTATCAATGCATCATCAATATTCTTTTTTGTTAAAAGATACATACCAAGGTTGGATGTAATTAGCTTTTATGAGACTACTGATATACACATTCAATTTCTGAGTGAAATCCACAACCAATCTCCAGTCTACACTGGGCGGGGGATGGAACTATATGACTTCCAAAGTCCCTTCCCACCCGCATTCTATCAGTCTACAATTTGAGTGGCTCTCAGTGTGCCTGAAATTGATGCCAAATTGTAGCTTGAGGATGGACTTTTAAATATTTCCCTTTACATCCTATTATTTTTCAGAGATGCTGTAACATTTCTAAATTGTAATAGAAAGTTGTGACTTTGTGATCCTGTACATTCATAAAGTGCTGAAGCTGATGAAGGCTTGACACACAGAGTTCACAGTAATCAAACAGAAGTTTAATCAGCACGTGGGGACAAAGATGTTCATCTTCTTCCTTACATATTTAACCCCTGGTGCTATAGAAACCTCATTCCATTTTTTTCATCTAGATTTTTAACCCGAGGGTAACTTTACTTTCTAGGTCTTTAGTTTATAAACATTAGCCATAACTCCAAATAGTTTTTATAATTCACGGGGTTCTTGAGATATTATTCATCTACAATTTTTCCATATTATTCGAGACCAGTTCAGCTTTCCCCAACTTTTAGTTATACCTGATTCCGTTCCTCATAATTCCAGATGATCTGGTATGTTAGAATTATCCTTTCACACATCAGAAAAATATCAGGTTAGGAAAGGCTAATATAATATCTTCCTGTAATAAAGCAACAGTCATTTTCTTGTAGCACATTTATACATTCAGGTAATAGAGTACCCACATGCAGCCAATTGACATTAGAATGTTAGAAAGAACTGGCTAAGAATCAGTCCCAGACAACTCAAGCATAGAATAAGCCATTTTTTGTTTGTTTTTAGTAACTTTTCTATAAGGATATGTACATGCAAGGGGAAATTAATCCAATTCTTTTGTCTATGTCATATATTATTTTTTTAAATGAACATATAGGACATGGTCTCTGGTCTTAATATCAAGAGAGATAAGAAATATCTCTTAATATCAAGAGCAATAAGAAAGAACTTACAGCCTTTGTAGATGTCTGTAGGTATCTGTACAGCTGCATATGAGTAATTAACTTTGGTTTTGAAGTTATCATCATCCGTGAATTCCAACTTCAAGGAATTAGATTTCTCTCTTTCAACCTCTTCCCCTTCTGGATCATCCTAGGGGGAAAAAAAGGACACATATCATAAAAAAATCAAGTCAGGAAAATGGTGATAATAACCCAAAGAGGGTATGGCAATGGATTTTGCCACTGAACAGGCCCCAAGAAAAAATGTATATGGAAATTCTGAATCATCCGAGTCATGGTTGCTCCAAAGGTGCTTTTTCCAAAAGGCAACTGAACTTACTTTGTTTTTTTCCCTTTGAAAACATTTTCATCCAAGAAACTTCTTCAGTTCAGAACTTCAAAACCTTTGGAACATCCAAGAAAGAGGAACCACCAAGTTCTTACCTTAAAAAGTGATCAATGGCTTTTGGAGGTCCTAAACAGGAAGCAAGCTGGGGACACCTCATCTGCTGATATGCTATCAGTAGCCAATTTGAGCATTCAGCTACAAGTAATGTTCAAGTAATGTTCTTCCCCAAACCCCAAAAACTTTAACCTTAGACTGTCTACTATTGACCTCACCCCTTTCCTAAGAGGTCTGTAGGGGGCGTGCATAAGCGCACCAACGTGCCTACCGTCCCTGTCCTATTGTTTCTCTTATTCTTTTATTTTTTCTTATATGTACCCATTTCATGTATTCACAACCATGTATACACTTATACTTATTATCTTGTAAACAATTGGCAAATCAAATAAATAAATAAATAAATAAATAAATAAAATCTAACAACTGTACTGTCTGCATAGTGTGTACATGTCCATATGTCCATATATACCCAAGCTTGGGTGTATACCCAAGCACTCTGATATAGAAATGATCTTTTGAATTAACATTTTTGACATAGTCTTATAAATAGCTTTATGCATATCTACATGTGGAGCTTTTCCTAACATAATATTATAACATTTAATCTGTTTATAACTGTTAAACTCATTACATTTTAAGATTCAGCAGAGATTGTATTGTTTAATCCCAGTCTGTAACTTCTAATTGCAATCATACCGGTTACAATTATATTACCGTACAATCATTCATTTATAATATTACTTGACTGATACTGATAGAAGCAAATACCGGTAGTTATAGCTCAGATTGAACTGTGGGATCCTTGGTGCTCTCTAGCTTGCTTGTTTTTTTTGCAGATGTCTTATTACTAACAAAATCAGGGCTAGTATAGAGTACGGTTTGCTCTTATTTTATATATTAGTAGGTTACCCTGTCAGTGTTGGTGGGAGTAGTTTTGGTGGTTCCTTGATTGGGCTGCTGTTTATTGTTAGCTTGTTTATCTGAGTTGATAGTTTCTATGTTGCTACAGTCACTATGTACGACAAACAGGCAGAAGACTAACAGACCATATTCATAAACACTAGCTAGCAGTCAGAAGACATGATTAAATACTCCTTAATTTCACAATACATGGAAACTGTGAGCATCCTAGACCAAGCCTTGTCTAAAACTGCTAGAGAATTCCTGAAGGCCTGGCACTCAGACAAATTGGTTGTCAACAGGCACACAGAGATAAACAACATCTATATATCATTCAAAAGAGACAATAAAAAAGCCACAAAGAAAACAAAAAGACCAAAATACCTCCTCACCAGCAATCAACATCCATATAAGCAGCAATTAATATCAAGATTAACATTAGATCAACAATCAAGAAGCAAACAATACTCCAATTAAGGAATTGCCACCTCAGATAAACAAGTTAACCGTAAAAAACCCAATAAAAGAATCACCAAGACCACTCCAATTGATGCTGACAGGGCAAGTCACCAGTATATAGAATGAAAGCAAACCTCACTCTTTACTAGCACTGATGTTGTTATCTAGTTTAGTAGTGAAGTATCTACAAGAAAATAACCAAGCTTAGAGAGCACCAAGGACCTCAAAATATTGATCGATTTCAGGTTAAAATCTGAGGGTGATTTAAACCTTCACACTGCTATAAGATAATTTACTATGCAGATTTATATAACAACAATTTTAAAAATTTGTAGCAAATTGTATGATCCTTGTAGGATTTCTTTAAAAGCATCTTTCTGTTCCGAATGAAAGCCTCTGCCTCTCATTTTATTGTTTTCTTGAAACAATCCAACAAAATGGGCTCCAAATTTTAGTGCAGATTGTGATTCAGGGTGGCCAGTATTGCACCCTTGCAGACTTTTCTTTTGAAAAGGAGGCATCTATCTCACAGCTCCCATTCTTAACAATTACAGTGCACCACTAATGACAGCATCTCCTATCCAATGATCTCTCCATTCTATCAGGTGTGTGTGTGTGTGTGTGTGTGTGTGTGTGTGTGTGTGTTGCTAGGAAACTCAGATGTGTATATTCTTCAGCACTCCTGAATCAACTCCATGGCAACAGCTGCCTGAGAATGGCGTAGCTGTTAAGATGCTCTATCAGGTTGAGGTAGTTTACTGAAGCAGATATGTCTGAGTTCCTAACTCCTGCCCAAGCTCTGTTTTCCTTGCCTTTCAGTTTTCAATTCCCTTGGCAGGAATTAAATCAGGAAAGCCCCACCCCTTGAAAATCAATTTAGTAGCAAAAGGCAACTATCAAAGAACAAATTAAAATACAGTAGAGCTTACTGCTCTGTCAATAAGCACTGCAAACAATATTTAATTATGGCATAGCGAAGGAGAAAGAGAAGGAGGGGGGGGGGGGAGAGGGGGGGGGAGATGACAAACTTCTCTGCTGCTGAGGCTGGAAGGGGACATTGTACTTTCTGTCTCTCTTTCTGAGAGATTTCTGAAAGAAGTCTTGGTTTACTCTTTAAAAGGAGAGTTAGCTTTCTTTTGAGGGAGAAACCCAGAAAATATTTATTTGGAATTTCAGACCTGAGAAACCTTCATCCTGTTGGTTAAAGAACATTGCTACCATCTTTGAAGCAGATTTAATCTATCTGCTTGGATGAAGAAGAAGTGGTGTGTGGGGGAAAGTATTGAAAAAACCCAGGCATAGCAGGACGAAACCTTTCTTTGCTAGCATTTAATTAACAGGAAATACACAGCAACAACAGAATGAAATGAATTAACCCAACCCATACTTAATTTTGTTTAAGAAAATAGTTTAAACATTATTTAAATGATTAGAACATTAATAGCCACTATATATATCAGGCCCTAGACCAGAGATAAGCCTGTGAATTCCAATCGAGTCCAAATGTTTTTGCTTACACCCAATAGATAGAATCTTGCCAGACTAAAGCTATAATCTTTTAACCTAGCAGATACACCCTGAGAGATTCTAGACTACAGGTATCCTGCAACTACTTCCTCCTGCTCCATCCAGTTAGGACTGTGCAGTTTCTTATTTTGGGCTTCTCTCTGGAATATACCACTTCCTCCCTGGAAATCCAAATTGTGATCCAAATGCTCTTTACAGAAATGATCTGATTTCAGCCATCTTCTTTTTTTTTAATATAAATTTTTTCGGGTTTTCACAAAAACATAATACAAATAAAACATCCTTTTTTGAGAATAGCATGATCCCGGGTTATCACTTCTCCATACAGACACAAACTCAATTTCATATTCATCTTTGTGTTCTACTCCATATCTTATTACTATTTTAACATTTTCTCCATAATTTTTCCCCTCCCTTGGTTTTCTCAGCTTTATTTTTAATTATCTCATATCTAAATTCAATTATATATCTTTTTCTAAGTTTTAATGTCTTTCTAATCATTATATTTATACTTTTGTCTGTCCTGTTTCAATTTCATATTATCTTTTCTCATTAAACAAATTTTCCCCTATAGTTACTAATTGGAGTATGGCACCTTTATATCTTTTAATTTTATCCATTCAACTCTTAAACTTCAATTTATGCCTTTAGAATTATAACATTCAATATAGTACATAACTTCCAATTGAATTCTTAAAATACACACTATGTTCTTTATATATATGTATATATATGTGTGTTTTCTTAAGTTTTCGCAGGTATTTATATGTATGGTATTCAGCTTTGTTCGGGTATTTTCCCACGTCATTATAGTTGTGCTTTTAAAGTTGTAGCAATGTTTCAGCAGAATCTCATCTGCCATCATCAGGCTTCTGTATAGTGTTCGTCTGTGAGTCAGACAGAAACGGCTGTGAAAGTCTGACTCATAGACGAACACTATACAGAAGCCTGATGATGGCAGATGAGATTCTGCCAAAACGTTGCTACAACTTTAAAAGCACAACTATAATGACATGGGAAAATACCCAAACAAAGCTGAATACCATACATACATACATACATACATACATACATACATACATACATACATATACATACATACATACATACATACGTAGGTCTAGGTAAGATTAAGAGTATCTTGGCGATGTTTCAGCGAGGTCCCACTTGCCATCCTCAGGCTGGTGCTTTCGGCTTCGTGCCAGTGCAAGCACGAACCTATATACCTGTACCCGTGAAAATCTACGAAAACACACACATATATGTATGTGTATGTGTATGTGTATGTGTATGTATGTATATATATGTATAAAACAATAGTAAATAAAACACTCATTCCATTCCAATTCAATTCTATCATTAATATTAGTTACAATCTTAACGTCTTTAACATTTCTTTTCAATTGAATATCATACTTCCTTGGGAACACTTATAAACTTTCCATAATTAATTCTTTTTTTTTCCATATTTCTCTTCACTTATATTTTTATAAATCATTAATAATAATTAAAATGTTCCCATCCTTTCCTAATTTCATCCTCTCATTCTCTTTATTTCATTTATTTATTAACAAACACTCCACTGCATTACAATAAGTATTTTATCCATCATTTTAAACATACATTGTTTCATATTTTCTAAAATTATTTCTATTTCTAATATAACAATACTATCTTATGTACCTTTGTAGAATCCCTTTTTCAATTAAATTTTCACCCATTATCTCTAAATAGGCTTATACTTTCAATCCTTATACATTTTCCCTGTTTCTCTATATCTTGTTTCTGTCTTTTATAACTTCTTTTCCTTTCCTTCTTCCCCCTCTTCTTCTCCCTTCCCTTTTTACCCTTGTTTCTCT